AGCTCTCTAAAATGCCACGCCGCATTCTCATGGATTTGCATAACCCCAAAAGAATATAATGATTCTAGGTTTCCATGGGGAAATGTCAAAAGGCATCTTCAGGGTATATGGCATGATGCAAACACCTCCCTTGATTTGAGAATGTTGCATGGAGAAATCCAAAATTTGCTGAATGCACCAAAGCTTGATATAGATATAGCCAGAGAAGCCTCGGAGTTTGTGTCCCGGCTACGGGACAACATCCCAACTATAAGTGCTTTCATTCATGGAGTAATAGGCCTAATTGCAGAAGCAAGTTTCCTGGTACTTTTATGCATGTTGTTGCCTTTCTGTATAAGATTAATCTGTAAGCAAATGTACAAGTTAGCCATAGACATCCGCCTACTTCAGCTACATCAAGAGAAGGACAGCATCCCGCTTAAGTTGTAATAAATTAAAAAGGGGGAGCTGTGGGAAGCCGTGTTCCGTGGGGCCCGAGGGCAAGGATGGAGCATAGGGTAGGGACGCCTACCTGCTCTCCCCTAAGCCTTCAGGGTCATCCAAGGACAGGGCAGACCATAGCCCCATTGTTAGAGAGTGCGCGTGATGCACGACTTATCTGGATGTTCTCAGCTAGGCTGTTCTCAACGATATCTAGCCAGATGCTTACTCTATGTATCTTTTCCAAGAATGTCTTGAGGAGCTGTCGGGCTGCCTTGTCCTGGGAAAGGGGCACTTGGAGAAATGCCCAGAAAAGCCGCATAAATGTACGCTTGCAACTAATAAAGTTACTGCAGTCTCATCATGGACTAGCAGTCCTCCTGAAGCCCCGCTTTCTCTTGTCTTTATTTCTCTTAAAACCTCCTAGCCTACCTCCAGGACCTGTGATGCCGGTTGGATCCGGTAACCTAGGCTGTGGGCCGGCTCTTGCCTTGCGTGCACTTGGGCAAGTGACTCAGCTTAGTTTCTTACTCTATATAATGGAGATAATAATACCCACTTTACAGAGTTTCCATGAGGATCAAATGAGAGGATTCATCCAAGGTACCTGTCCCAACACCCATGCAGCGTAAGTTTTCACTGCCATCATCTTTGTCCCTCAACCTTCAGTTGTGATGGTCTGGGATTCTGTGACTTCTGATCTCAGGCACCCATGACATGGGCTCAGCCACCAAAGCCCTTTCTCTGTGTGGCTAAGATGGCGTTTTCAAATATTTTCCCACTAGGGGCCTGGTGCACGAAATTCGTGCAGTGAGAGGTAGGGTGGGGGCCCTCAGTCTGGCCTGCACCCTCTCACAGTCCAGGAGCCCTTGGGGGATGTCCGACTGATGGCTTAGGCCTAATCCCCACAGGAAGCAGCAGTTGGACATTCTTAGTGCTGCTGCAGGGCCAGGAGCTCCGCAGCCATAAGCCTGGCATCTGGTTGGGTGGTGCTGCCCCTGTGGGAGTGCACTGATCACCAGAGGGCAGCTCCTGCATTGAGCATCTGCCTCCTGGTGGTTAGTGCACATCATAGCAACCGGTTGTTCCACTATTGGACTGAAACTGGCTCTCTGACCGCCCCCCCCCCCTTGGGAGGGGTCCTGGATTGTGAGAGGGCACAGGCCAGGCCAAGGGACCCCAATGGTGCACATTGGGGCCAAGGAGGGACACAGGAGGTTGGCCAGTCGGGGAGGGACCACAGGAAGTCTCCAGGCTGTGTCCAGCTAGCCTCACTCAGTCCTGCTGGGCCAGATCCCAACAGCAAGCTAACCTAGAGGTCTGAGCATCTGCCCCCTGATGGTCAGTGCACATCATAGCAAGCAGTTGAGTGGCCTTAGCATATCATTAGCATAGCATGCTTTGGTTGAATGGCCAACTGGATGACTGGACACTTAGCATATTAAACTTTTATTATATAGGATTTGACTTTCTAGTCTACTGCATTCAGGGAAGGGCAGGCTCTTTGAGGCCTTCTTGACACACCAATTGGAGGCTGAAAGAAGCTAGCTACCAATTGATGAGTGCCTTTCAAGTGCCCAATGCCAACATTATGAGATTTCCAGAAGAGAAAACTGAAGCACAGATAAAGTGACTTGCTTAAGACTATGCAGGTAGTAAAGTCAGTGATTACATAACAATTTCTATATATTCTTGTGTAGTCTTACATTGATCACATAATTTTTTTAATCAAATGATATGAAGTGATGGATGGGAATCAAATGTTATAAAGTGATGATAATGCTAATTCAAATAATAGAGAACCACCATTATTAAAATGAATGAATATTGTAAGAGTGAAATTATGGTACAATGAATGTTATTCGCATTCATTGTCTTATTGGGAGGATGTAAGATATGACTTGCATGAGTAGAAGTATCTCAGGTGTCAAAATTAAAATAGCCAGAAGTATTAGGTAGAATTCCTTGTTCTTGAAATAGAGTGTGTTTTTTTCTGGGGGGGGGGGGGGGGGGTGGAGAAGAATGTTGGCCGAAACCGATTTGGCTCAGTGGTAGAGGGTCGGTCTGTGGACTGAAAGGTCCCGGGTTCGATTCCGGTCAAGGGCATGTACCTTGGTTGCGGGCACATCCCCGGTACGGGGTGTGCAAGAAGCAGCTGGTCGATGTTTCTCTCTCATCGACGTTTCTAGCTCTCTATCCCTCTCTCCTCCTTTATGTAAAAAATCAATAAAAAATATATATTAAAAAAAAAAAGGAATGTTGCATGGGCACTTGAGAAGAATGTATATTCCTCTGCTTTTGGGATAAAATGTTTAGTAAATATCCATTAAACCAATCTGATGCAGAAAAAAACAAACAAACAAACAAACAAAAAAACTATGCTGGTAAGGGAAGTGCTCTGGCCTCGTGAGACCTGCTGTGTTCTGTTCAGTGCTTCCCGCACAGTAAGACTAGGGAGCATGAATTGGCAGATACCTAGGCATCAGGCTTTACCACGTACCTTCCTCCTACCCAGGACCCTGAGAGATCCTGAAGCAGGCACTCAGCAAGCATCTAGTGTGTGTGAGACAGATGGGAGCCCTCTAGCCTGGCAGGCCATTTTATTTTATTTTATTTTATTTTATTTATTTATTTTTAATATATTTTATTGATTTTGTACAGAGAGGAAGGGAGAGAGAGAGTTAGAAACATTGATGAGAGAGTCATCGATCAGCTGCCTCTTGCACACCACCTACTGGGGATATGCCCACAACCAAGGTACATGCCCTTGACCGGAATCGAACCCGGGACCTTTCAGTCCCCAAGCCAACGCTCTATCCATTGAGCCAAACCAGTTTCGGCTTATTTTATTTTTTAATAACGTTTATTGGGGTAAGTTCGAGACTTATTATGACAGGAAGCATTTCCATTGTAGAAATTTGGAAAATAATAATAGCTATAGATGAGACTATACTATGGGTCAGCATAACTTAAGTCTAGGAGGCTGGGCTCTGTCACATGCTAGCTGGCTGTTCCTGCTGAAGCGACTGCCCTTTTCTGAGCCTCAGTTTCTGTATCTGTCATAGAGATCCTAATAAAAGCCTACTTCTTGGGATGATTATGTAAACTAAATGTATCATAACTTTGCCACGTTGTTATTTTTAAAAAGATGTTTCCCAAAAACAAAGTTAAGAAAATGAGAGTCTGACCTCATCTAATATTTATTTGTCTGACCTCTAGTTCTCTATTCCCTAATTTAAAGGGTTCTGAATATCTTTCCGAGGTCTCTGGGTTCCCAGCAGATTGGCGTTTCGGAAGGACACAAAAATTACCTGCAGATCTTGACAGCAAAGTAAGTCTTTTCTTTGAAGTGGGGGGTAGTCTTATACAGCGAATATGTTTTAACTGTAAAATTGGGGAATCGTCTTATACACCAGAAAAATACGCTGTGTGTGTGTGTGTATGTGTGTGTGTGTATATATATATATATAATTGATTTTTTTACAGAGAGGAAAGGAGAGGGATAGAGAGTTAGAAACACCGATGAGAGAGAAACATCAATCAGCTGCCTCCTGTACAGTCCCCACTGGGGATGTGCCCACAACCAAGGTACATGCCCTTGACCGGAATCGAACCTGGGACCCTTCAGTCTGCAGGCCAACGCTCTATCCACTGAGCCAAACCAGTTTGGGCTATGTGCTATATTCTTTACCCAAATCACAAAATGCTAGGTCTGAAGAAACTTCTGAAATGTTCGCTATAGTCTTCCTATTTGAAATGAGAAATGTGAAGCTGAAAGGAAATGGGCCCACTGAAAGCTGGATCCCCAGGTTACTAACACCAAGCTCCTCTGTTTTCACAGAAATCTACCCTCCCACCCCGTCCCAAATGTTAATGTTCTGCACCTATGGAGCCACATACAACCTTACCTCTCAATCTAAATCTATCCCAACCTCTTCTCTTTTAGCTCCTTAACCCTGCCCCAATCTTATTACTTTTATTTTTAATCCTCACCTCATGAGGACATTTTTCCATTGATTTTTTAGAGAGAGGGAAAGACAGGGAGCCATATCAATGTGAGAGAAACACATCAATTGGTTGTCTTCTGTATGCCCGGCTGAGGAGGAGCCTGCAACCAGGTACATGCCCTTGACCAGAATCAAACCCGGGACCCTTCAGTCCACAGGCTGATGCTCTATCCACTGAGCCAAACTGGCTAGGGATTTTTTTTCTTAAGTATATACTATTTACTATGTGTTCACACATTTAAATGGGTTATATTGCACTTAATCCTATGGCTGTTCTTTTGCTAAAAGCTCAGAAAGGTACAGTTTCTGGCCTAGGGTTCCAGAGTTGATAGGTAATTAAACTAGGGTTCCATCCCCAGTAGGCATTGCTCCAAGCCCGGAGCCCCAGCTTACTGCCCCACAGCTGCCCCTTGTTTGTCCACCTCCTATCCCTTCAGATGGGTCTGGGTCCCAACCCAGAATGCATCGTCCACCAGGGTCCTAGAACCTAGGGCCAGTGTCCTCAACCCTGAAATCTGTAAGAAAAAAAAAAAAAAAAAAGGAAGCAACAACCCCCTTCCCCCCCTTAGGCCCTCCTTCCTCTCCCTTTCACCCCGCCTCTCTGGTTCAAAAACAGCGCACCAGGCAGCACTGTGCTCATTTCCAAAAGCTGCTACCAAGATCCTCCCAAGATGAAGGGCTTCTACTTCCTCCTAGTCACCACCATCTTCCTGATTATGATCCAGGTAAGAGCAGCACCCAGCCCTTGGCACCACTGCCCAAGATTCCCCAGACCTGCTTGCGTCGGAGGAAGCAGGTGTCCACAGACTCCTGGGCACCCCGTCTTCTCCCGGGGGAACAGAGGCAGAAAGGGTCCAGGGGGCAAACCAAGGACCAAGGGGGTCTGGCTCCCTACCTCCCAGCCCTCCTGGCTGTGTTCAGACTTCCTTGAGGCTGCCCCCAACAGAAGCCTGTCCCCGAGGCTGGGAGCACGCTCAGGGTGCCAGGAACCCTGACGCACCCGAGGGGCGCTGTGGAGTCCTGGTGAACTTAGAGGCCTGGAAAGACAGCCCCGAGTGAGGGTGGCATCAGCCCACAAGGAACCTGGGGCAGTGGTTTGATTGGAAGGGGCCAGGAAATGACCGTGTGGAACCCGATCCTTTTGGGAGGTGGCGGGGAGCCCCCAGGGAGAGAAGGCTAGGTGTTCTGAACGGAGAGAAGGGAGAAGTCACCCACTCCGGAAATGGGCGACGTCTCAAAGCCCTGCTCTTCCAGCAGCAGCTTTAGCAGCTTCCCGCGCCCAGAGGGCTCTGGTCAGTGTAAGAGCTGGGAGCCATCGAGTTCTTGATCCAGAGCAGCTTGATGAAGCATCAAGAACAGCTTGAGCACCATCGAAAACAGCTTCATCTCCATCGAGAGCAGCTTTAGCTGCAGCTTGATCAAGCATTGAGAACAGTTTGATCACCATCTGGCCACGTCCTCGGGCAGGAAATTGTACTCTCCCCATCCTTCCATCCACCCACCCACACTTTGGCAGGTGCCTTCCCATGTGACACCCCCCACCCCTCCACCCCTTCCACTGTAATGCGCTCTTCTCCCCATTCAGAATACGAGCAAACTGAGGCTCAGATAGGTTAAGCCTCTGGCCCAACTGGTAAGGTCAAGGGGGCTAAATCATTGGAGTGACTGCAGAAAAGACTACACTCACCAGTTAGTAAGTCTGGACACAGCGCTTCCTCTGGTGGTAAAGGGATGCCTTACACCGGAGTCCCAGATGAGCTGGGAGGGGAGAAGGCAGCTGGAGGAACTGGGGGTCTGGAGATGACAGGAAGGTTCTGTGGGAGGTGGGCTAGGGACTGTATCAAGGCAGGAAGCAGCCAACTGTCTCCATGGGAACCGGTGACAGACGTCATGATCATGGGACAGAGAAGTGACCACTATTGCATTGGGTAGGGGAATCTCTGTCTCTAAACAAACGTGAGGTTCAAAAGCCCCCTGAGCTTGCCCCACTTCTCTTGCAGATACAGAGTGGAATCTTGCAAAACAGTTCCGCAACTACTACCCATGCCACCACTACCACCACCCAACCCACCACCTCCACCAAATCTGCCACCTCCGCCAACTCTGCCGCCTCTGCCAAATCTGCCACCTCTGCCACCTCCGCCACCTCCGCCAGATCCTTAATCTCCTCCACTACCACCATCCACACCATCAAGAACATCAAGGGCGGAGCCCCAGCACTCAGCGGCCTGGGCAGTGGCAGTGTGCTCATCTTCTTGACCAACACCCTCATCCAGTTCCTCCACTTCAGCTGAGGTGGCAGGCCGCAGCCCTAGCCCTGTGTCCTCTGAGACATGGCGAGAGAAACTCCCCATCCCCAGTCCTTGGGAGGGGTTGATACAGAGGTCACCAGTTGAGGAAATTGACAGAAAGTGGCTTGGGGGCAATGGCCTACAGAGGGAGGTACTGTTAGCATCACACAGCTGGGGGTCAATAAAGTTGTCGTGTACCTGGAGCTGGGTCCTATGTGTGGTCACTGACATCAAGGGCCCCCAAACTCCAGATCTGCAACAGCACGGAGGAGCCACGCATGCCCCCCTCAGCAGGGGGTGGTGCCAGGGAGCTCCCACTCCAGCTTCCCTGATCCTGAGGCTCCTCCCCTTAGGATCACCTTGCAGAGACCTGACATTTCATCATCAGAACCTTCCCCTGGACCTGTGAGTTCCCTGAGGGTGGGGCCCAGGGGCTTGGTCATGTGTATGTCCCCCCCAGCCCAGTGCCAGACCGGGCTCAGAGGGGGCTAAATCATTGGAGTGACTGCAGAAAAGACTACGCTCACCAGTTAGTAAGTCTGGACCCAGGGCTCCCTCTGGTGGCAGAGGGAGGCCTTACACCCGAGCCCCGATGAGCTGGGAGGGAAGAAGGCAGCCTGGATGTAGGGAGACCAAGGCAGGTGAAGGAATTCTCACCCCATTCGCAGATACCAAGTGCACAGACAGGAGGACGCCCAGGAGGATATTAGAAAACGACTCATGTTACACAACAACAACAACAACAACACACTTATAAAAACATTCCATCCCGGAGAAAGCCTCCAGAGCTGGGGGAGGCGGGGGGGGGGGGGGGGGGGGGGGGGGGGAAGGGTAGAGTATCAGAGCACATGAACAGTCCAGATCTGGGAAGCCCTGTCCTTGGTCGGCTCCCACAGCACCACGTGGTCCCGGTCGTAGCCCCGGCCGCCTGGGGAGGAGTGAGAGATGGGGAGAGAGATGGTCAGAGCAAGCTGGGGACTCCTTGGCCCTCAGGTGCCTCCTCCCACGCACACCCCCACCTTACCCTTCACATCCAGGATCCGACCCTCAAACATCTGGCTGCAGATGTGGCCCAGTTCGTTGATGCTCCAGGTCTGGCGGGGCAGACGGCTCTCGGCCCACAGCACCACCTTGGAGCCCGGGCTGGGGGGCCCGATCACCTGCAGGCTCATGGTGGGGGCCACCTGAGGCCCCAGGAGGGCATCAGGCACTGTTCCTCTCCACAGGGACCCCCGCCCCCCAAAGAAAGACACCCCCGACAGACCCAGCTCTAAATCCCTATGGACTGTGGTCCTGCGCAAATCTCTCAATCCTCCTAAACGTTGGTTTCCGTGGAGATGGGAATCCCTGAGGGCGGGTTGTTGTGAGGGTGAGAAGTCATACAAGGGCTGGAAAACTATGAGTTCCTCCAGGAAACCTCCCGTGACTGACTCCCAAGACACAGGCCTTCGCACCAGACGAGCCTCGCCAGACACACTGATGGGCTGTGTGACTTTCAGCCACTTACCTAAATTCTCTGTACTCAGCTCTCCTACCCTGTTAAATGGAGAGTCAGATGGAATCTGCCCACAGTACCCTCTGAGGATTAAAGAGGGAAGCATGTCGCCCTAACCAGTTTGGCTCAGTGGATAGAGTGTCGGGCTGCGGACTGAAGGGTCCCAGGTTCGATTCCGGTCAAGGGCATGTACCTGGATTGCAGGCACATCCCCAGTGGGGGGTTGTGCAGGAGGCAGCTGATGGATGACTCTCTCTCATTGATGTTTCTAATTCTCTGTCCCTCTCCCTTCCTCTCAGTAAAAAAAAAAAAAAAATCAATTATATATATATATATATATATATATATATATATATATATATATATTTTTTTTTTTTTTTTTTTTTTTTTTAAGAGGGATGCATGTGAAGGGCTTAGCATGGCACCGGGTACAGAGCCAGTGTTCCCTTTCATTCTAAGTCAAAGACAAACCCTTTTAAGAGCCCGTGAGGATACCTTTCTGACATCATCTGCTACTTCCTTCCTCCCTCCCTTCACTCCAGTCCCTCTGGTGGTCTTGCGAGTCCCCGAAAATGCTGGGCATGTTCCTACCTCAGGGCCTTTGCACGGACAGTTCCCTCTGCTAGGAACACCCTTCCCTGGGGACCTGCATGGCTGCCTCTTCAGACATCATCGCCCGGAAAGGGGTCTCCTTGTCAGAGCCACTGTCATTGCCTGTTCCTTTTACTCGCTTACTGGTTCTCTATTGCAGCCATTTTCACCCACTGTGTCGCAAGGAGTTTTGAAACGTGCCGTACCTGACTATTTAGTCAGGGCCACTGACCTCTTTTCCCTCAGGCTGTCAAATAAAAAATGACAACAGCCAACAGTGCTCAGGAGATGTTTGTAGAGTGAATCTACCATTACTACCAGGACCCAAGTTCGGTCACAGGATTTCAGAGCCGGGAAGTCCCTCAGAAGCATGTGGTTCAAGGCCCCTGTTTTACAGATGATGGACCAAGACCAGAGGAGAGAATAAATGGCCCAGGGGTGGATGCACAGCCTGCATTCTCCAGACCTTCTTGGTGTCTGAGGGTCTCTCTGACCCACAGGGTCCTGTTCCTGGCTGGGCCGGCACTCCCCACGGTGAGTGTGAATGCCCGGGGCCCTGGAGTCCCTCTCTCAGCCACCAAACCGGTACCTGGTTCTTCAGCAGCCCATCTTCGTAGTACCAGACGCAGCTACCTCCAGTTCCAGGTTCAGAAACCACCACACGGCCCGCCTTCATGTCTTCCACGTGGTCTGGCACTGCCAGGAAGCCCCCCAGGGCCATGTTCCAGAGGCGGAAATAAGCCCGGCGCTGGGGAGGGGAGGGAGCTGAGAGTCAGGGCTCCCGGGCACAGATGCTCCCACCTGGGCTCCCAACACCCATAATTCTGGACCCCCCAGCACCCCAAGCCCAAAGCCCGCATTCCTGCCCCTGCACCACCCCTGGCCCTCCTTTAAGTCGGCCCTTGTTTCCACACAAACACCAAAGCCCCATCCAGAGCACACACCCACACCCATACAGTTCCGTGTCCACAGACACCCACAGACGGGTGCAGAGGGACACGCTGGCAGATGCACCCAGGGTCCACGTGGTTGCACAGAAGTTTGCAGCAGAGACAAACACACAGATCCTCAGAGCCATGCAAACTCACACATCCTAACCAGTGCACGGGTCCCCCAGCCGCCTCCGCACCCGGCACCCATGTTTGCTGAAAGGATGGGTGCATGGAGGTGTTCAGAAGTGCACCCCACCCCCACGCCAAAGAGGGGCCGTGGCGCGGCAGACACCGCACTGTCAGTGTCAGGTCAGGCTCTGCCCCTAACCGGCTGGGACCTCGGACACTGGTGAGGGCCGTAACAGTAATGAGAATCACATCTAATCTCAAGCACTGTGCTAAGAACTTTACGTACATTATTTTTCTTCATTCCTCAAATCAGCTCCATCGTATGTGTTACCCTGTTTTAACGATGAAACTGAGGTCCAGGAAGTACAGAGCTTGCCCAAGATTGCAGAGCAAATCCCTGTCCACTTCTCCGGGCCTTGCTTTCCCAGCGGTACAATGCGGGCGTTGGAGAAAACCTCTGAGGTTTCTCCCAGCACTGATATGCTAAGAGCCGGTGAATGCAGGGACCACACACACACTCTCAACAGGCCACAGACACATGGAGTCATAAACACACAAACCACAGGTCACCGACACAGACACATGGACACAAATGACTGTCCAGACACAGAAATACCCTCTGACAGCACGTGTACACACACACACACACACACACACACACACACATCCCAGGGCCATGCCTCCACATTAACGCACAGGTAAGAAATCAGACACATGGCCAAACATGTGGAATCAGCATTGTCCAAAGTGAGGTGTGCTTACTACATGAGATAATTTTTACTCCTACATGGATAAACTTAATGGTTAAAAATGTAATGGCAACCCTAGCTGGTTTGGCTCAGTGGACAGAGCTTCAGCCAGCAGACTAAAGGGTCCCAGGTTCGACTCCTGTCAAGGGCATATGCCCAGGTTGTGGGCTCAATCCCCAGTAGGGAGCATGCAGGAGGCAGCTGATCAATGATTCTCTCTCATCACTGATGTTTCTATCTCTCTCTCCCTCTCCCTTCCTCTCTGAAATCAGTAAAAACATATTCTAAAAAAAAATGTAATGGCAGTAAAAAAAATTTTAATGGTAATGTATTTATTATGTTTCCTATTAATAAAAAATCAACCATCCACATCAAACCCATGATTTTATGACTATTATTCCTTAGGATAAGGATAGAGTAGCAACAAATGATGCTCATTTAGAAAAAAATATTAAGAAGATAATGGTTCAAGAGGAATGACGATGTGGCGAAAAGTGTGACAAAAGCATCAAAATGCTGAGTTTGGGAAACACACAGACACACACCCAGATGGACACACTCAGCCTGGCGTGTACCCACCTGCTTGATGGGGTAGAGGGAGCCCACCCTCTGAGTCCCACTGTAGGTCAGCCAGTTCGTGATCTCGCAGCTGCCCACCAGCCACTGGCGGCCCCGGAAGTCGCTGTGCTCACACAGCACCCAGCTGGGCCCAGCAAGTGCCAGAGACAGGCAGACAGACAGACAGACACACACAGACAGACAGACAGACAGACAGACACACAGACAGACACACAGACAGACAGACAGACACACAGACACAGACAGAAAGGTGGAAAAGAAGGCACGAATGTCAGAACTTCCTCCACCTCCCTTCCTCTCCTGCTGGGTCTCCTCCGCCTGGCGTTGGGGTCCCAGGGCGAGAGGGGGAGGCTGGGAAGAGGATGGAGGTTCGCAAGGCAGAGGAGGGTCCTGACGAGCCCCTTCCCCACTGGGCTGGGGTCCAAGCCTGAGGACCAGTGACCCCCTCCCTCCCTCCTGGCTGGGTCCCTCTGAGTCCCCTCAGGGAAGAAGCCTGGAACCAGCCCTCACTTACTAACAGCCCCAGCCCCTGCCCCCCCCACAGCCCACTCACGTGCCCCCCTGGATCCGCACGGACAGCACGTGGTTGTTGAAGCCCTCGGCCTGCAGACTCCGCACCTCGCCAGTGAGCTCGATCTCCTTCCCCTCGAAGCACTCCAGTCCGTACAGGAAGATGGACGGCTCGGAAAAGTGCTGGGGGCCAGGCATTGGGAAGGGTGAGACCACGG